TGCTTTTTCTATTGCTTTTTCTATTGCTTTTTCTATTGCTTCTATTCTACAGCTACAGTCTGTTCCGATTGCTTTGTTCAACTGCTTCTATTCTACATCTACAGTTTGTTCAATTGCTTTTTTCGACTGCTTCTATTTACATCTATAGTTTGTTCTATTGCTGTTTTCTATTGCTTCTATCCTACATCTACAGTTTCCTATAGCTTTGTTCAATTGCTTCCATCTACATCTACATTTACTATAATCCAGACTGAATACCCTAATCTAGACTGAATACCCTAATCTAGGCTAAATACTGTAATCTAGCAAATATCGCAAATATAGAAAATAATCCAAGGCATGAATTGGGATTGGGAAGGAGGAAGGGAAGAGGAGGGAAGGAAAGAGAGGGAAGGGAAGAGAAGAGAGGGAGGAGAAGGAAGATGTGAGAAAGGGGAGGGGATAAGACAAGCGAGTGCCTATAGAAATCAGAATTGGGAACGAAATTGGTTATCAAATCTTTGAACTGAAAGCAGCTAGCTGGTAGTGGATAGACATAAAGATAGTTAAGGTTATATGATTGGTAATCTAATCTAGGCTAAATACCGTAATCTAGCAATTCTGGACTGAACATGCTATTCTAGATTGAATACCCTAATCCAGACAGTTTAGACTGAATACTCTGATCTAGACTGAACATCTACAGTTTGTCACATCAACAAGCAGCTGGCACAGCTAACAATCTAATTATAAGCTCAAAAAATCTAATTATAGGCTTGTTATTGAAATTTTTGTTTAGAAAAGAAATTTGAAAATTATTATTTTGATTCCATCGTTCTCTGACTTTATTACCTTGAGGCATTTTGTTGATTTAAATTACTATCAAGTAGTAAACTACTATCACAAGGTAAAAAGTCGGTTGGATCCAATTTTTAATGATCAATTTGTTCAGCTGATCAGTTTTGATTAGAGATAAACAATCTCCCCCAGGTGTTTAAGGTCTTTTTAAGTCATTTTTCAGTGTTTCAATGCTTATTTCAACATCAATTTCGTCTTTCAAGATTTCGAAAATAGAAAAAATATTTTCTAGCTTACTTAAGCTAGCAATATAATGACGAAATAGTCAAAATAGACTGAATTCTTGTTTCAAAGTCAACGTTGTTTCCAAGATTGTTCTTCAAGTATGTTTTGTGCTCGAAACACGCTCTTTCTAGTCCATTTCTGAAGTTTTTTATAGCAATCTTTTGGTAAATAGAATTTGAGTATACTAGAAAGGATGTGTTTTCACATTTATGCACAAAGTTCACCTTAAGGAAAAAGCAGCATTGACGAATAGCATTGATGTACACTACGGGACAATGAAAGACGATCGTCACTTTCGCGTGTATTTCGTTTTTCAAATATCATATTTCATTGTCCAGTACTGTATAAGTTTATCAAACTTTTTAGGTTTGATCGGTTTCACTGATGAGCTCATCGATTAAATTGATAATCCCATTTAAGAGACAAAACATTTTTTGAGAGTTTTATGTTTCGGATTCGGACAATGAATGATTAACGTTTGCATGTGTTCAGCGAGAAAGTAATGAATCAATAAAAAGAAACAAATCGACAATTCACCGGTACATAGTCTAACTGGAGTTTATCTAGAGCGAATGTTTTAACTGGATTCTAACACCAGGAAAGGCTTTTAACTCGACTTTCTCTGTAAGCCAGACAAAGCTAGAGCCAGACCCTGAGGAGTGAGGGCAATAGGGAAAGGGGACTCACTTCAGAGAAGTACTGAGTTTTTTCTTTTCTTTAGTTTATTGGATATCGGAATAAGTCATGAATTAAACGAAATAATCATGGAATTGAACTATTGCAGAAGTTAGTCAGAAATCCTGAAGGTTTAAGGCTTGGAAACCATGTTTTGAGTAAGATTGTTGGACGGAATTTGGTGAGATATGTTTAAGCCATAGGTTAGCTTTTCAAGAAATGAGATTGATTTGAAGATTCTTTGAAGATTCAAGAAACGAATCTCGCTTATCAGAACCTATCGATGTGAGGTCTGAAAATGTAGCTGACGATGAGATCTAGTGGAGGATTTGAGTGTTGAGCTTGCGCAAGCGACCCAGTTACGCAGATGGCCCAGTTACACAAATCACCCAGTTATTGGATTGGATACCTAAAGATTGGCTACCTATGCCGCACTCTGTACATGATGGCGAAACAGTCTTTTAAAAAGTTAACAAAATCCGGTTTCAGCTTGCGCGCCTCATCACACAAGAAACGAACCAACCGATCGACGTCTCACTCCTGAAATAAGAACGTTTGAGCACATTAATAGCAGCCTTATTTCAAAAATCTGCTTATAAACTAAAGGGATGTTTTTTAAAACCCCATACAAAACTTTGGATACTCATAACTTTTGACAGAGTGCTATTTAGCAGATTCGGATTCAGCGTGAAATTCTGCGTTGATAGGTCTATGGCTCAAGTCATTTGACCAGCCTATCTAGTTCACCTTTTCGTATTACTATCAAAAACTACCTCTGGTAGTTAAAAAAGCAAAGCGATTGGCGGACAAATTTGAAAAATTAAAATGATCTCGGGCGGGGCCGAACCGCCGACCTTGTGTATGTTAGACAGATGTGATAACCACTACACCAGACCTCTGGTCTGGAGCTAAAAATAGGAACTATTCAACTCATTCTGCCATTTTTCCGATCTATCTTGGGAGAAAATAATTATATTTAGAGGTAGAAGAATTCTATTTAGAACACAAAGAACTATTTTAGTTGAAATTTTATTTGAAAAAAAGGCTTTCAATACTGAAAAGGCTTTGTAGAAGGCTTATCCGACTTTGACCCTAATTTTATCTAGGTTTTTATTGGTAAGTCTATGAAACAAATAGAACATTTCTAAAGTCAAATTTTGTGTAGATTCTAATATTATAGCATACGTAACTTACCTTTTAGATCATTTGAGGTTTTCATATTTTATAATTCCTTGAAATGTAGCCGGAAATCTTTAGGGGTTAATTATTATTTTGCTTCAAAACTATTTTGGACAGATGGATACTACACCTTTTCGACAACCTTCGATACGAAAAATTCGATCTCCCCAGGGGTTTCTAATCTCTGTAAGGGGATACGAGAATTAAAAGTCTAGCGAATCTCAACTCAACCTACCGAAAATTAAAATTCTTCACAAATCTGACTCTATTTTCATTTTTCAAACACTAAAAGCGATCCTCAAATCAGAAAATAGTGCCCTCAGAAAATAGTCTATATAAATCATTGTGCTCTGAAGATGGCTAAGACATCCTTCAAATAAAATTGTGCGGAAGCTAATGCGAAATATTGCAGATCTTTACCGTCATGTTCTTGTCTTTTTTGTTAGACATTCTCTTTCGGTATTCTCTTTCACATGTACAGCAATCGGGAGAATAATGATTACGTTTTTTTCAGTTTTGAAATGACGACTCTTTTGAGTCGTCATTTCAAAACTTTCTCTTTTGAGTTGCCGCCGACCTTGTGTATGTTAGACAGATGTGATAACCACTACACCACGAGATCTGAAAATGCTTTCAGTACTGAAAATGCTTTTATACTGAAAATGCTTCCGGTACTAAAAGCTTAGATTAGTGTAAGGCTTTGTAATATTTCTTTCTCAAAGAAATATGAATTTGACTACAAAAATTTGCGCCGCACAGGTGACCTTGTTCATTTTCTTCTTCTTTTTATATTCAAGTTCAAAGACTCAACGAAAACATGTCGCTATGATTTTTTGATAAATTTTTAGTTTTGATTTAGTTGACTAAGCATCTTCATTGCCGAAATCACTGTATTAGTTATTGCTTTGCTTTGCACTGCCTTTTTTTTACCGTTGTTTACAAAGTTGTTTTTTGTCTTGGCAAAGCTAAAGATTTTGCGTCATCCAAATCACTCGTCAGAATGGAGTTGAATAATCTCAAAAGCTTTTGCGCTACAAGTTCTTTTCAGGAAATTCTTTTCCTCATCTTGATTTCTTTATTACCTTTTGTTTGATCTTTGCCACGGGCTACAAATCCCCCAAATCAAATGTACATATAAAAGAGGTTTATGAGCTAGTTTGACATTTGATAATTTTAGTTTTGATTTAGTTGACTAAGCATCTTCATTGCCGAAATTACTGTATTAGTTATGCTTTTATTTACTAGAAAACATTGCGCTTTGTTCATTTTATTCAAGTTTTATGATGTGGCAAATAAACAAAATATTGTAACGATTTGTAAATCTGATTGTTAAAAATAAACATTTCGCGATTGAAGATTCGAACCCACCCAAAAAAGAACCCGATTACTTCCGTTCAACGGTTCAAGGCTGATCTCAGACGGTTCAAGGCTGATCTCAGACGGCTCAAGGCTGATCACTCTAATCTCCATTGCCTTTGCCTTTACTTTTTTTGAATTGTTGGACAAAGAAATCCGTGCAAATCTGTGCAAATCATTACCATAATTTCAATCATTACCATCATTACAATCATTTACTACTGTAGATGTAGGATAGAAGCAATAGAAAACAGCAATAGAACAAACTGTAGATGTTCAATCCTTTTTGAGGAGTGAGGGCAATAGGGAAAGGGGACTCACTTCAGAGAAGTACTGAGTTTTTTCTTTTCTGGAATGGAATCATCCAGCGTTAATGTAGTGGGCGTAAGAGCGCCTAATGACATTTTCCTAAATATTAACATCAACTTGGCTGCTAGGCTATAGCAATGCTATCTTCCACAACTTGGATCAGGTACTAAGAAGAATTTACTTTTGTCTCGTTTATAGTCAAGTAGGCAAGGAGGTAAGAAGGCAAGAAGGCCGGAAGAAGGCAAGAAAAAGTATCATTATAAAGATTACTGTATCTATAGAAGATCGACTCACCAGGTTGAACATCGGTGGTTGTAATGGTTGATGTTGGGGGTGAATGAGTGGTGGTGGAAGAGTGGGTAATGGTTGAGTACCACCGAGGAAACCCACTGGATTCCACATGGATGTTGGTAGAACAAATGCTGGTGGTTGTGCCGTGCCGAGCATCACTTTCGATTTCTGCTCGATCCAAGTCGGCTCGGATTGTGCTCGCGGATGGATTGGGTGCCCCGTTTTTGGAGGAATACGATGAAGGTAGTCAATCGATCGATGAATTGATCAAAGTATGGGGAAATACAAAGATAAAGTGATCCGAGTGGACGCCTCAACAATTGACCTCTCGTGTGGCTACTTGAGTGGGGAGTGGTTTGGAACCGGCATGATGCATTCCGATTCCAAACGGCAGTGTCATTTTGAGGTCATTTGAGCTCTGCGTGAGGACTTCAAGCTAAAAGAAGGAAAAGGAGCATTGAGATGAAATTAGGTACCTCTCCAGCATTGAGATGAAATTAGGTACCTCGTCCATGTTACCATTGCTTTGGATCGATACTTGTCACCAGCATTGAGATGAAAGCCAACGCGGTCAGCCTGGTTTGCCTCCTCGGGGCCGCGAAAACGACTACCGGCTGGAGTGGGGAGTAGGTGAGAATTGTTAACACATTATTTCGAACCAAAAAATTATTATTTGCAAGCTTTTGCGGCTAGATCCATTTACCACCAGGAAAGGCTTTTAACTTGACATTCCCTGTAAACCAGACAAAGCTAGGCCCTGATCTAGCTTGACCCATCCAGCCCTGCTTTGAGCTGCTTGTCTCTTCCTGGTGCAGCCGACTCTTAGCCTAACCTAACTTAAACCCTAGGGTTTTAATAATTTTGTTAGGCTTTTTATAGATTTGTTGATATTCTGTCAATCATTGATCATTGATCATTAATGTCGTTGTTGTTTTACCTTCAAAACTCACCCGTATATGGCTCAGACTTGATTTTCACAAATTCAGAGGGTTTTCTTGACGACGGTGTAACACCACTGAATCACAAAAAGTCCAGCTGCAATTGAAATGATCATTGATTCTGAAAATTGAGAGAACCTATTTGTCAAATGTTAACAACAAAGGCGCCTAGCTGTCAACTATGAACAAATTCAGCCTCGTCAACTCTGAACACAGTTGACATAGTGAAGAACTAGGCGCCTTAGTTGTTCAGAGTTGAGCTTCGTTCAGATCGCGTTCTCTTAATTGATTTTCTCATTTTCTCTCTTTCATTTAATTTTTCAACTTTCTATTTTCTGTTTTTATAAACGTATGAGCTTCCTCATTCTTAGAAATGAAATATTGACGAGATTAGTTTTTAGTATTTCATTTTTTTATAGCAAAGCTCAAACCTTGCCGTCAGCCAGATGAGCCATCGTATCTCGTGGGATCCCTCAAATTTCAGGTGCGAGGAAGAGAAAATGGAGTATGCTGTATGCAATATAGAAACATGTACGATACTTTGCTCCCTAGAAGTCAAAAATCTTGATTAAGCCTTGCTTAGATTATCCTGAAGCCTTGTTTAGATTATCCTGAAAACTCCCTAGAAGCTCTTATTTAGTTCCTATAAAGCTCCTTTAAAACTGCTTGAAAGCTCCTTTATAGTCCCTACTGGGTTCCTATAAAGCTCCTTCTAAGCTGCTTGAAAACTCCTTTACGGTTCTTATTTAGTTCCTATTCTCCTTTAAACCTCACTCCCGAGAATGCAGGGATTCAAGACGGTCAAAGAACGAGCGGTGAATATAGAGAGTCAGATTTTATGCTAATTCAGGTATTCTTTACTATTATCTAGAGTGTAAAAACAGCCACACACATAAAAATCTGAAAAGGGTGTCTAGAGAAAGCATTGGTTTGGCTGCCAGCCAGACACCTAATACAATTAAGAATTCTTTTGTACTTTTGCATAAATCCAGGTTTGAATCTAGTAGAATGATTCCATGATCTAAAAGATTTCTAATAGGAAAAGATTCCTAAATAGGGACTATAAAGGAGTTTTCAATGAGCTTTATAGGGGCTTTCTGGGAACTAGGCCTTTAAAGAGCTTTCAAGAGAGTTTTGAAGAGGTTCATAGGAACTAAATAGGCACTATAAAGAAGCCTTCACTCGTAGTACATTGGCATTGAGATTGGCATTGACAATCATTGACAACAAACGGTTTATGTAAATAAAAAAAAAACGCTTAAATTGTGTCTTCGGGTTTTTTGACTATCCGACTTCATGCCTAGATAAAAAACTATAGAATATAAACTTTATAATACTAAACTAATGTTAAATTAAACTAACAATACTAAAAAACAAATTTTCATATGATTTCTTCATTTTGCAGCAAAATAATAGGTCTTTCTAATAGAGATTTTGATAAAGCTTGCGTTCGTTGATATTAATCCAAAACCTCTTTGCTCACCTCTTTTTTGCCCATTGACCAAAAATGTTAAACAAACGGAATTCATCGATCGATTGACTACCTTAATCGTATTCCTCCAAAAACGGGGCACCCAATCCATCCGCGAGCACAATCCGAGCCGACTTGGATCGAGCAGAAATCGAAAGTGATGCTCGGCACGACACAACCATCAGCATTTGTTCCACCAACATCCATGTGGAATCCAGTGGGTTTCCTCGGTGGTACTCAACCATTACCCACTCTTCCACCACCACTCATTCACCCCCAACATCAACCATTACAACCACCGATGTTCAACCTGGTGAGTCGATCTTCTATAGATACAGTAATCTTTATAATGATACTTTCTCTTGCCTTCTTCCGGCCTTCTTGCCTTCTTACCTTCTTGCCTTCTTGCCTTCTTGCCTTCTTACCTCCTTGCCTACTTGCCTTCTTACCTTCTTGCCTTCTTGACTTAGCCAGCTTACGGAAATTTAGATCCTACAGTATTCCTCTTTAAGCCTCTGCTATCAAATCTACAAATCTACTTAACCTTAACCTGTAAACTTTCTCACAAGATTCTGACAACTTATACTTGTACTATTATATTCATTGAAAATCCAAGCGCTGTAGCTCAATCCAGCTGCATCTGATCAGCCCAGCCTTGTCAATCTTCAGCTTCTACTGCTATTCTTTGAGCCAGTTCAACTCTTATTCTAAAGTACTAAACTTTGGGCTTAACCTAGTTACTCTATTAAAGCCTAATCTCATTATCTGTTTGATTGAAGATTTGTCAAGTCTCTTTACAAGTTTTACGATGATGAACCTTATGAGGCGAATGTTTTATGGCGAATGTTTTACTGCCCTGGGCAGGTCACTTGTAAGTTTCAAAGCTTTTTTGGCTTATTGCCTTTTCTTCTTGCTTTTCCTGTTAGCTTTCATTCAACCTCATCCATCACGGAACGAGTTTCGATTTTCCCACCCAATTTGGAAGAAATCTTTCTCATAGACTTGATTCCCTAAACTTTCTTCAGCAATTATATTTTCTCGCTCAGCAACAATTTCAAAATATTGCAATGTATTGCAATGAAATTTTCATATTTATTATCAAAGTTCATTGAAATCCACCCATATTACCCAAGTCGTTTCCCTTACTTAAGAGATTTTGAAACAATAAACCCATTTGATCGTTTAAACTCATTTTTAGGGGAAAATCACCCGCAAGGGCTATATATTGACCCCCTTTTGCCCATCTCTAGCCGCAGATCTCAGATAAATAGAAAACTTAAATGAAGGGGGAAATGAGACCGGAGAATGAATGCAAAAGGAGCTGGGAGGACATTCAGATAGGAGCGTCGCAGCCTCTCCCCTCGATCGATCCCCGGACCACCTCTCAGCCTTTTTTTTTACCCCAAGGCCCACTCATACACCCCTCTTTCTTTCAGTTTTTAGTTTTTTCTTCAAAACTTTCTTTTTTTTCTTCAAAACTAAACGCAACAGGCCTCCATTTTGAATTCTAATTCCAGATTTTTCTGTCTAAGCTCATCTGACTCCATTTCAAAAAATTGAACCGAATTCTCGAATTCTCGACTGCTTTTAGCTTTTCATTAGACATTCGACTCATATTTGGTTGATCGACTTTCGTCAAAAATTTCCTCGAAAGACAAATTCTTAAAATAGTTTCTATTGGATGGAAAGGCTGCTTATCGGGATGAGCAATCGGTGGAAGGAAGGGGAAGGACGGGGAAGGATGGGGAAGGATGGGGAAGGAAGGGGAAGCGAGGGAAAGGGAAGGGAGGGGGAAACAGTGAATGAATTAAAAGAGAATGAGAAAGGAAAACATTTCCGAGGGAAAGTTTTGAAAGAAAAATTCTTTTTCCAAATCTGATGTCATCATTTTCTTTATATTTATTCTCTTTATCCGATTTTATTTTTCCCTTCTTTGGTAATCTTTGGCTTAATCTGATGATCAATAACTGATCTGAACTGATCAATAACTTTATTTTTCTTTTCCCTCATGGAAATCGATTCTATTTCAAACAAAACAAAAAGAAACATTTAGAGTAAAAGAAAGAACCGAAGTTTTAGATTGTAAATCTAGGAAAATTGATGCCATTGGGTATTGTATAAATCATTTTGGTCAGTTAGTCAATCATAAGAGATTAGATAGATTGAAAGAGAAATGAAGTCATGAGTCAATGGAAATCTTTATGGAAATCTCTTTATGGAAATCAAATTTTAAGCATAAGCTTTATCTCATTTACAAAAGACTAAAAAATACTTTTTTTTGACTAGTTTAGCTTCACTCAACTACTAATACATTAAAACTGATCAGCAGTGATTCTGTCAGTGATTCTGTCGATGATGGCCACAAGGAGTCGATCGGGGATTGGCAGGGACGGTGGGGGAGTGATCGGCGGATGGAGGAGACTCCTCTCCACTCCCACCAAACGATACTCACCCACTGATGACTCTCCATTTCGAGCGAAGACCAATCAAGCGCACCTCCACATCCATTTCTTCATCGCCTACCTCAACATCATCCACATGAATCCCGAATTCCCTATCATCAACCCCGCCAAGAACCGTGCTTTTCAGAAAGATTGTCAATGGGAAACGGCCAACAATGGTCATTATACTATTACATTCATTGGAATTGGTCCGATTATCTTAAAAATCGGTTTCTTCTCAATCCGGACAAACATTTGTGTTTATGTTTATGACAAGATTATAAGTAATAGTTAAGAATCTCAGCAATTCTGTACCGGGGATTGGCAGGGACGGTGGGGGAGTGATCGGCGGACGGAGGAGACTCCTCTTCACTCCCACCAAACGATTCAAACCAGGGCGAACCAGGGCAGAACCTGGAAAAGCAATCCTGCTTGAATCTAATCCTTAAAAACACTCAAAACTTATTGAGAAAAGTGCTGTTCAAATCTAAGATTCGTGATTTAAAACAATAGCAATTATTCAAATAAATTCAAAACAAATGTCGACTTTCCAGAATCAGCGTGAATCCCCATCGATGGAGTCACCCGAAATGCAACGATACGGCGACTCGCCTCGAAGTTTCAACCAAAGTGAAGTAAGAAATTAATTTACAACACAATTCCTCAACATCTTCTTTTAAAAAAACAATTTTTTAATTATCGATCCGATTTTCTTTTCCCCTTAAACACAATTCTTGTTTTTCCTCTTCTTTTTTATGTAATTTGATTGCTCAGATAAGCACGAGAAGAGCATGAAAACAAAGTCGATTGGATCAAAGATTTTGACATAAATTTTGGTTTAAGATTTTTTCTTTCTGAGTTGTTGGGTTCATTGGAAGTATGTTAGAGAGAAATTTGAAGAAAAAAGCTGTTTCGCAGAGAAAGAGAAAAGCTGTTTCAGCTTTAAAGAGAAAAGCTGTTTTACAAAGCGATCAGCTGTTTCATAAACTTTACCCTTTTATTTATGTGTACCCCCTTAATGAAATCCAAACTTTTACCAAATAATTGATCAAAAAGAGACATTATCTTTGAGTTTTGAGTTTTGATTGAGTTTTGATTAGTCAATGTGTTTTCTTGATACATAAAATAATAGCACGATCTATTCTTCCCCAAAAATCGCCTTGTTTACGTCTAGTTTGTGTGGATCTCTCATCGAAAGAGAAGGCAGCTGTTTTTCGCGGGCTCTCCTATTCTCTATCACGCGTATCCAATTCTTTCTCCATTTTCTTTTCTCGTCTGCCCTCTCCCGTAGGTTTTCTTAGATTCAGGGCTGATCCTAAGCCATTGTCGAAAGTCTAAAGGCCATTGTCGAAAGCCTATAAGCCATTGTCGAAAGTTTGGTCCTAGAACCAGCCCTGCTTTGATACCTTAGATCTCATTTTTCTGTTATATCCCTGTAAATGTTTTTTTTCAAAAAAATGAACCCATCCTTTTCTTTAAGCCTTCAATTAGCTATTTATTGACCTGAGCTTTGTGGTGATTTGAATTGATTTTATTTGCAAATAAATCCCAGTACGATAATTTATGCCAAAGCGCATCATTTAGAAAACAATATAGGGAACACAAGATCCTAATTGTTTCCTAAAACAAGTCTCCTTGCGAAAAGCTTATGTGTATCTCCATAAATGAAATCCAAACTTTTACCAAATCGCCTTGTTTACGTCTAGTTTGTGTGGATCTCTCATCGAAAGAGAAGGCAGCTGTTTTTCGCGGGCTCTCCTATTCTCTATCACGCGTACTTTCCAATTCTTTCTCCATTTTCTTTCTCCAATCTCTAGTTTATCTAGACTCTTGTTTAGTTAGAATTAGTTTAGAATCTTGCAAAATATAACAGAAAAGCCTCTCATATGATTTCAATATTTTCATAAAGCCGGGTCATTTAGTTACTGGATGAATATCTGATTGATGAGATCCTCTCGTTGGAGGACGAGCAGCGCACTCGGGGCAGCAAACCACACCAAACACCGGTAGGCAGATATTCTCTTTCTTCAATCTAAAAGCTCATGTTGTTTTGTGAAAAGTTGTGTTGAAAAGAGGTTGGCGAGGAGTGGTTATTACACATACTAAGATCAAACACAGAATTGTCCTGATTATAGATATATTTTGAGAGATAGACCACCATATTTTGTGAGATAGACCATATCTAAATATAGTTTCGATTTCTAATTATAGTTTTCTATTGGATTTCGATATCAAAAAAGTAGCCCTGAATTTCAGCTGTTTTTTGATACAAAAGACGCATTTTTAGGTAGAGTAGTACATATAGCTGTAGCCGAACTGTAGACTGTACTTTAACGTCAAGTACTATTGCTGTAGCTGAACAGATAGAGTAGTAATACGGGAGATGAACGGTAAGCAAAATTATCATGAAATGAGGCTAGATTTTATTTGGGTAAAATAGATGAATGGGGATTTAGTTCCAAGATTCTGTCTTCTTACTTATCTTACTGTAGCTGAGATGTTGATAAAGTGTCTTAAGTTGTCCTGAGATGTAGGCTACTAATAAGCTTCGTTATGCTAAGCTAGAGCTAACGTTAAATCAGCTAACTGATTTAACGACTATAGCTGAATATTTACATATTTTATCCTCTCAATTTCCAGCTGACCGCCCCGTACTCTTGTGCAGACAATTTGACGAATCTCTCCTCGCAAGGAAGACCGATTCCCGGAAACAACTCTTCAGGTGAGGTGTTCAAGATTGATTTGTTTTTACGAATCAAATAGGGAATTGGGGAAGAGGTAAACAGGTAAACGAGAAAAAACAATGACGTGTCGGAAAGGGGTCAAGGGACACAAAAAGAGGGGAAAGTTCGCTCAAACCGGCGCTGTTTTCATGATCTGAAATGTCTAGAGAAAGCATTGGTTTAGCTGCCAGCCAGACACTTCATACAATTAGCAATCCTTTTGTACTTTTGCATAAATCCAGGTTTGAATCGAGTAGAATGATTCTATGATCCAATTCCGACCGGGAGTGTCTGTCTCCTCTCTCGGGGATGAACTTTGTGTGGTGTATTGCCCCTTCTCTGCCCTTATTTATTTGTTGGGGGAAACCTGTTTATAAGAGAAAGTCATGGGATGGTCAGATATCCCGCTCGTTTCTCGTCACAATCACCCTTCTTTGCCATTTCATTACCTTAGAACCTTTTGTTCTTCGTTTCTTTTCCCCCTAGTATTGGATGATTTTCAAACTTCAAATTTTTCAAGCCGATGTTAGACTGGAGTAAAGAAGGTTAGTAATGGATTAGGAATTGCTTATTATTGCTATCTATTTACTCATTATCATAAACAAATAACTTTTGACAATGAAAGACGAAAGACAAACGAAAGACAATGAAACCAAGGCAGGAGGTGGTCTGGCTGGCTGGCTTGGCTGGCTGGCTTGGCTGGCTGGCTTGGCTGGCTGGCTTGGCTGCCTGGCTTGGCTGGCTGGCTTGGCTGGCTGGCTTGGCTGGCTGGCTTGGCTGGCTGGCTTGGCTTAGCTAATCAAATTTTTAAATCTTTTTAACTTTAACTAGTCTAAGAATCTAGAAAACGTTGATTTTCTTGAAATAATTTCATTGTTGAATGATCGCCTTCCCTTTTCAAGAAGTTGAGTCAATCAGCTGATCGAATCGAATCCATCAAAAGAGAACGGATCGATCGAATCATTTTCTCTTTTTTATCTCATAAAAGCTCTCTTTTCTTTTCTCTTTTCATTATCAGGAGATCTCAAATTTCACTTTTTTATATACAAAAACCGGCACATCTTTCCGAAAAACGAAAAAAAAACGCCTCATGGCTATCCATGATTGGTAGGAAAGCTCATTTTCAAAAGGCTACTGGAAACAAAGTTTAAATAAAAAATAAAATAAAATTTGAAAAAATAAAATAAAATTTTCAAGACTACAACTGAATATCTTAATTTTTTAAAAAGGTTTAAGCTAGAAGACAGCTAGAAGACAGCTAGAAGACAACTTGAAGACAGCTAGAAGACAACTAGAAGACTCCTTTTTCTGTCTTGATTTTTCGCACGCAATTTTAAAAGATATTCAGCTAAAAACTTGTCTAATGCCAAGAGCAAAAGGGATTATGAATTTGAGTTGAAACTGTAAGAACTTAAAAAAACCATTTAGGTGGTTCAGGCCACTCAGGCTCACCCGTCGGAATGGGAATCCCAGGCGCGATGCAATTCCGCCACGTCGTCTCCTCGTCAGCTCCCTCCTCATCGGATATGGATCAATTGGTAAACTTTATGATATAATAGTAAGCTGTGGATATAATAGGTCTCTGATATATAGGTATCTGATATGTCTAAATGATTATTATTGTTTGCAGGTACGTGGCTCGTCGCAAGGACCCGTTCCCAGTGCCGATGATCCGGAACACTACCGCGATCGCAGAAAGAAGGACATTCACAATATGAGTGAGTTCATTTCATTCATAATTATCAATGAAATCAGAAGTTTTTATTAGCTAGGTTTTTCAGTTGAACGCCGTCGTCGCTATAATATCAACGACCGAATCAAAGAATTAGGAGTTATGCTGCCTAAAGGAGCCTCCGAGTGAGTTGAAATCTAATTTCAAGAAAATGCCACTAAATATTTACTTCCCGTTATCAGGCATTTTCTCTTTAGAGCCGAATTTAGAGAGATGAAGTTAAACCAAGGGACGATTCTCAAAGCATCTTGTGACTACATTCGACAATTGCAAAAGGATCGAGATGTAAGTGAAAAGAAAAAAACTTCTATGCAAAGAAGAGCTTTCAGAGCATGATTAAACAACAGCAACAACAAAACAAATTGGAAAACGCTGCGAAACAATACGCCGATCGAGTCAGAGTGAGTGAGGGAAATGGCTGGGCTTGGCTTGGCTTGGCTTGGCTTGGCTTGGCTTGGATTGGCTTCACCATTCAATTCAATGATTCTTCAGCTACAGTACTGGACAATGAAATATCATATTTGAAAAATGATCGTCACTTTCGCGCGTCTGTAACTCCCTTGTCTTTGAGTTTAAACTATTAGTGTTACACATTTTCTGAAAGCTCTTTTCAAGGGCTACACAATGATAATATTAATATTTAGAAATACGGTAAAGACAAGGGAGTTACATACGCGTGAAAGGGACGATCTTTTTCTAAAACATGAGATTTCATTGTCGTGTGTAGTGTAGATACTCGTTGAACCATTCTACTAAGCGAGTAAATAAAGATAGATAAAAGATACGCATTCTATGCACTCAATTCTAGGAACTCGAGGAGATCTTGGCGAAGAATGGCCTCAACGCGCCTACCAAAGCGCTTCCTCCACTCCCAGCCATCCCCTCCGCTCCTCGACCAATCAAACAGGAGATCGAAGGGAGTCGAAATCAAACCCCATGCGGATCACTTGTAAGCGATCGCTCAACTCTTCTCTTGTCTCCCCTCGAAAAGACTCACAATCAATCGGCTCCCGATTGGGTACTAAAAAAAGCAGCAATTCTTTTTGGAAACTAGTACTAGGACCCTAAATTTATGTTCTTTATTTTGCTCTTATTCTCTATTCTTTTAGTCCTCATCGGGTTTTATGTCACAACTCTCTGACAAGACGGCTGCGATCGCCTCGCCGCTAGAACGGATCCATTATGGATCCGATCAATTCTTTCGCTCAAGTCCACAAGATTATCAGACGCCACAATGGAGGTGGAGAAGTTATAGATATATCAAACCAAACTTTGTCTAATTATATTCTATTGATTGTTTACAGTATTCAGATAAAGTTATTGTCAAATAGCAGAAAGTGGTCGAATTTGGTTGCAAAGTAGAAGCTACAGTAGCTTATGGTAGAAGTAGAAGCAAAGTAGTAGAAGTAGAAGCAAAGTAGAAGCTACAGTAGCTTATTGAAAAACTGTAGAAGATTACTGTATCAAATACTTGCCTTTTCTATTAGCTGGATACTGTAACAATCATTCAATAGCTTACAATTAGTTATTTAGTTTATAGTCAGTAAGTATTCAATATCTAGTTTCTAATAGTATTTCTCAATAGCTCTAACATTTGCAGATACCGCCCCGACAGCCACAAAGGGATGCACCACGGGCCATTCCCCGATTTGATCATGGAGTCGTGTCTTGAGGTAGAATTGAGATAATAGATAAAAACAATATATCATTTTATTTAAATCTAATCCTAATATCTAGATTCTCATTTAAATATGAAATATCTAAATTGCTCTGCATACAGAACAATCCACTCCTCCACTCGGACCCGTTGATGTCACAAGCCGGTAGCCCGTCGCCAAACCTTGCCGCCAGTCAGATGAGGCCCGATATCTCGTGGGATCCATCGAATTTCAGGTATGATGAAAAGAAAATGGGATCCAATATAGAAATATGTACGATACTTTGCTCCCTAGAAGTCGAAAATCTTGATTAAGCCTTGTTTAGATTATGCTGAAGCTGGGCACTTAACATAGGCTATACAGTCAATAGCGTTTAAGTCCAAGGATACTGTAGCCCAAGAGTACTGTAGCTCAAGGATACTGTAACCCTAGAGCACAACAGTCCAAGAATACTATAGCTAGGGATATTGTAAACCTTGAGTACTGTAGTCCGAAATACTGTAGCTGAATATTTCTTGTATGTTTATACAGTATGTTTAGAAGTTGTTTCCAGGCCACTTGGGGAGCATTTGTCAAGCTATTTAGAAGATTTCCGGATATTTAGAGGATATCTAATATTTCAATTTTCCCCGCAAAGTCTCAATTCTTCGATTTTCAGCCCCGACGGGAACACCCAACCGATGCACGCCAATCACAATATGGACTATTCATAAAGAACTCGCTATTCAAATATACAACAAACGACTTGTACATATGTGTATCCAGTTTCATTCAAATATTTGTAAACCATTTTCGTTTCTTTCTTCATATCGTTTCTATTTGATCACTGAAAAACCCCCCTTTGTAAATCCGGTGTGTTTCCCTTTTTTAAAGGTGAAACCCATTGAAATGTGTACAACTTGTGTCGAAGAAAATTTCGACAGAGTGAAGAAAGGAAACGGGATATAGAATGGCTCAGCATTCAGTTTAAAAGACTCAGACTCACTCAGGGACCCGAACTCGGGTTGTTTTCCCACCGATTGAGCCATTTCTTCCCTTTCTCCCGCCATTCTCTCTCGGGTCCACAATCAACAGGAACGATTTTATTTCTTTTTATATTTCTTTTTGTCATTATTTTGATTCATTTGATTGGTTCATTTGATTTGATTGGCACCTCTAGATCGATTGAAAAATCATCCCCACATCTATCATTGGATATCTCAAATTTCCATACAAGTTAACAGATGTTTAATTGAAGCCTGGCTTAGCCTAGGATCCTAGGCTAACTCCATTGAAGCATTGGAGGCTAGTCTGCTCCATTGAAGCATTGGAGTCTAGTCTAGCTCCAGCCTAGTCTAGCTCCAGCAGCCTAGTCTAGATCCAGCAGCCTAGTATGGCTCCAGTAGCCTAGTCTGGCTCCAGCCTAGTCTAGCTCCAGCAGCCTAGTCTAGCTCCAGCAGTCTGGCTCTCCCTCCAGCCTAGTCTACTGTAATCCTGATCTGTTTGACCTAAGCTGGCCTAATCCATCCAATCACCAATCAATTTTCGTTATACTTATAATTTCGCTATCAACTACACATGATATGCTATTTGTGGCCTGTCCGTCGATTCCCAGTGTGTGTATTTCCGAAATTCCTTTTTTGGTAAATCCCCTTCGAATCAATTCATCATCATCAAAAGCAAGAACAAGAAAGCCGTGTACATTCTATCCCGTGAATTTGCTGTTCTATTTCAAATTTCATTTTACTATTCGTAAATTATTCCTTTTATACAAAAATTTCTTCTCTGATACATTCAAAAAAAAAGCTGAGAAATTTCTTTTTCGTTTCTTTTTCGAGTTTCTTTTCATTTTCTTTTCATTTTTTCATTTTTTTTATTTTTTGGGATTTTAAATGCAAATTTTTTTGTTTTGTTTACTATGTTTTATTTGTTTTATTCATCAAATGTGAGGGTGATTTGGGATTTCGACATTACTCTTTCGAAAATTGCAAACGTACACCTTCTGGCACATCGAATTCTTCATAGTTTTTTTTGTTCTATAAACTGCTCGTTTTCGCAAGAAGACTAGTGCACGAGAAGTAGTGCGTTTACGAGCACAAAATGAAGCTGAAGGCAAATTTACAGCTATAGAAAGATTCTAAGTGCTATAGAAAGAAGAGCTATAGGAAGATTCTCCATCTAACGCGTTTGGCACTGATTTCAAACTGTAAACTTCAAACTGTAAATTATCTAGATCACAATCAAAGTCACCCTAAAATTGATGATTCTGTATATTTATGGAAAAAAAATGTATCTATTAAAATTGCTTTGTGTGAAAGAGACGATGAGGCCGGGCGGAGAGACAGGCAAAGTCTGCAATCATATTCATGCAATCATATTTCATTCGTTTGTATGTACTTTCAGCCGGTCTAAACGTCCCAATTGATTCGCATTCACCCCCGTTCCCCAATTCTGAATTCTATATAGGCACTCGCTTGTCTCATCCCTTCCCTTCGCTCCTCTTCCCTCTCTTCCTTTTTCCTCACCTTCCCTCTTCCCTCTCTTCGCTTCCCTTCCCTCCTTCCCCAATCCATTCATCCATTCGATTCTTTTCTTTATTTCACAACACTTTATATAGACATGGCTTTTGTGAAATAAAACTTTCAATTTCTCAAAAGATAACCGAATACACAGTTACACAAATCTAACAGCAAATGACTGTACTCTACAGAATTCGATGGAATATCGTGAGCCGGTCTAAATTTCCACGATCTCAATTTCCAGCTGACCGCCCCGTACTCTTGTGCAGACACTTTGACGAATCTCTCCTCGCAAGGAAGACCGATTCCCGGAAACAACTCTTCAGGTGAGGTGTTCAAGATTGATTTGTTTTTACGAATCAAATAGGGAATTGGGGAAGAGGTAAACAGGTAAACGAGAAAAAACAATGACGTGTCGGAAAGGGGTCAAGGGACACAAAAAGAGGGGAAAGTTCGCTCAAACCGGCGCTTTATAATGATAATGCTTTATAATGATAATGCCTTTATAATGCCTTGGTTTCATTGTCTTTCGTTTGTCTTTCGTCTTTCATTGTCAAAAGTTATTTGTTTATGATAATGAGTAAATAGATAGCAATAATAAGCAATTCCTAATCCATTACTAACCTTCTTTACTCCAGTCTAACATCGGCTTGAAAAATTTGAAGTTTGAAAATCATCCAATACTAGGGGGAAAAGAAACGAAGAACAAAAGGTTCTAAGGTAATGAAATGGCAAAGAAGGGTGATTGTGACGAGAAACGAGCGGGATATCTGACCATCCCATGACTTTCTCTTATAAACAGGTTTCCCCCAACAAATAAATAAGGGCAGAGAAGGGGCAATACACCACACAAAGTTCATCCCCGAGAGAGGAGACAGACACTCCCGGTCGGAATTGGATCATAGAATCATTCTACTCGATTCAAACCTGGATTTATGCAAAAGTACAAAAGGATTGCTAATTGTATGAAGTGTCTGGCTGGCAGCTAAACCAATGCTTTCTCTAGACATTTCAGATCATGAAAACAGCGCCGGTTTGAGCGAACTTTCCCCTCTTTTTGTGTCCCTTGACCCCTTTCCGACACGTCATTGTTTTTGTCTCGTTTACCTGTTTACCTCTTCCCCAATTCCCTATTTGATTCGTAAAAACAAATCAATCTTGAACACCTCACCTGAAGAGTTGTTTCCGGGAATCGGTCTTCCTTGCGAGGAGAGATTCGTCAAATTGTCTGCACAAGAGTACGGGGCGGTCAGCTGGAAATTGAGAGGATAAAATATGTAAATATTCAGCTATAGTCGTTAAATCAGTTAGCTGATTTAACGTTAGCTCTAGCTTAGCATAACGAAGCTTATTAGTAGCCTACATCTCAGGACAACTTAAGACACTTTATCAACATCTCAGCTACAGTAAGATAAGTAAGAAGACAGAATCTTGGAACTAAATCCCCATTCATCTATTTTACCCAAATAAAATCTAGCCTCATTTCATGATAATTTTGCTTACCGTTCATCTCCCGTATTACTACTCTATCTGTTCAGCTACAGCAATAGTACTTGACGTTAAAGTACAGTCTACAGTTCGGCTACAGCTATATGTACTACTCTACCTAAAAATGCGTCTTTTGTATCAAAAAACAGCTGAAATTCAGGGCTACTTTTTGATATCGAAATCCAATAGAAAACTATAATTAGAAATCGAAACTATATTTAGATATGGTCTATCTCACAAAATATGGTGGTCTATCTCTCAAAATATATCTATAATCAGGACAATTCTGTGTTTGATCTTAGTATGTGTAATAACCACTCCTCGCCAACCTCTTTTCAACACAACTTTTCACAAAACAACATGAGCTTTTAGATTGAAGAAAGAGAATATCTGCCTACCGGTGTTTGGTGTGGTTTGCTGCCCCGAGTGCGCTGCTCGTCCTCCAACGAGAGGATCTCATCAATCAGATATTCATCCAGTAACTAAATGACCCGGCTTTATGAAAATATTGAAATCATATGAGAGGCTTTTCTGTTATATTTTGCAAGATTCTAAACTAATTCTAACTAAACAAGAGTCTAGATAAACTAGAGATTGGAGAAAGAAAATGGAGAAAGAATTGGAAAGTACGCGTGATAGAGAATAGGAGAGCCCGCGAAAAACAGCTGCCTTCTCTTTCGATGAGAGATCCACACAAACTAGACGTAAACAAGGCGATTTGGTAAAAGTTTGGATTTCATTTATGGAGATACACATAAGCTTTTCGCAAGGAGACTTGTTTTAGGAAACAATTAGGATCTTGTGTTCCCTATATTGTTTTCTAAATGATGCGCTTTGGCATAAGTTATCGTACTGGGATTTATTTGCAAATAAAATCAATTCAAATCACCACAAAGCTCAGGTCAATAAATAGCTAATTGAAGGCTTAAAGAAAAGGATGGGTTCATTTTTTTGAAAAAAAACATTTACAGGGATATAACAGAAAAATGAGATCTAAGGTATCAAAGCAGGGCTGGTTCTAGGACCAAACTTTCGACAATGGCTTATAGGCTTTCGACAATGGCCTTTAGACTTTCGACAATGGCTTAGGATCAGCCCTGAATCTAAGAAAACCTCCGGGAGAGGGCAGACGAGAAAAGAAAATGGAGAAAGAATTGGATACGCGTGATAGAGAATAGGAGAGCCCGCGAAAAACAGCTGCCTTCTCTTTCGATGAGAGATCCACACAAACTAGACGTAAACAAGGCGATTTTTGGGGAAGAATAGATCGTGCTATTATTTTATGACTCAACAAAACACATTGACTAATCAAAACTCAATCAAAACTCAAAACTCAAAGATAATGTCTCTTTTTGATCAATTATTTGGTAAAAGTTTGGATTTCATTAAGGGGGTACACATAAATAAAAGGAAGAAGAAATGAAATGTAAATATCATTTGTAAATAAAATCAATTCAAATCAGGCTGAGAGGGTTTGTCTATTCCGAATCAAATAGGGCAATTGGGGACGAGGTAAGCAGGTAAACGAGACAAAACAATGACGTGTCGGAAAGGGGTCAAGGGACACAAAAAGAGGGGAAAGTTCGCTCAAACCGGCGCTGTTTTCATGATCTGAAATGTCTAGAGAAAGCATTGGTTTGGCTGCCATCCAGACACTTCATACAATTAGCAATCCTTTTGTAATTTTGCATAAATCCAGGTTTGAATCGAGTAGAATGATTCTA